ACCGAAAAACATTTGACTCAACCTCTTATAGATATAATAATGAATATCATATTACGTTAGAAGAGGTGGGGGTATTTTCGGGTGTAGATTGGTGTATTCTAGACGAGCCCATTTTAGACCTGGATGTATAAACTGGCGTCGCTTAAATTATATCCTGGGTATAAAATTGGTGTTCACAAGCTTGTCTCTCTAGGTCGATTACGACTGAGTAACGATTGGCGTTCCATAGTTTCTGTCTTGGGCTACATCCAAGTTATGCTTAGGAAATCGCTGTACTCTGAAAGTGCCTATTGACGTCGTGTAATGGTTAGCAGGCTTGTCTGGTTTGATCGATTACAACTGAGTAGTGATTTCGCTTATCACTAGGCTCTATATACTGCAAGTCGGAGACTGGGCGAAAACAAATAACAGGCAGCTCATAACCAGCTGCTTTGAGAAGGTGTAGGTCGATAGCCCAGGAAGGCAGTGCATCTTTGGGAAGGAAAACCTTGATTTAAACCTCCGCTGCCTTGCGGTCAAACACGGAAAAAGTAAAAGTAAATCCAGATAAAAACCTCGGAGTGGAGCCCCGAAGTCGGTTGGTTATCAAAATTTTCCGGCAAGTCTTGCAGGCAAGCCGTCCTGAAATTTAATGCACTGTATCCCTTTCGATCTTGTCGGTACGGACGAGAGGGTGAGGACCATGTAGCTTCCATATAACCTCACTCCGACCTGCGTCCTGGAGAGGTCACTCCAGTTCCACCAGCAAAGGACAGAATTTTGACTAAACAGAGCACTATTTTGTCTCGCGGGATAAACGGATATCTATTACTATTTATGGGATAATCTAGTATTATTTTATTTTTCAAGTCTATTTTCTCTTTCCTCTGTTAAAAACTATATTGGCTATGTGTCAGTTCTCAGCAACATTAATAAATAATCATTTCTTCTGGCTGTATTGTTTTGGTATTTCAGATAAGGACAACACCCTTAGAAGGGTTTGAAATGGAAGGCTTCTGCTAATAACATTGTGCCCACTAGACTTAAACCTAGAACACTAACCATAGGTATATAGTACCCAGCGCAACTCACGATTTTTAATTACAATTTCCAGTACCTGATTTAACCAGTGTATTATTTGACATCTGATGAGACAGTTTTTCCATATTCGATTAGTTTCGACATGGATTGCTTCTCAAGGTCGCGTTCTTGTTTCCAACATCGAGGCAATCCCTACACATCCATATAAAAATATTCTATGTATTTGTCATTGATATTAACTAACCATGGGTATATAGTACCCAGTTCAAATTTTCCTATTTTTAATTACAATTTTCAACATGATTTTCTTATCTAAATAATGTTTTTCAGTTCCTATTAATGTTAACTCAAAGTACAAAGTTTGAAGTGCCTGCATGTAAAATATTTCAAATAAAGATTTATATTTAATAATTTTTTTGATATTTCCAAAATCGGGTATGATATACCCGTGGTTAGTAGTGGTGCAACTTTATTTGATGGTTAGTGTTCTAGGGTTTATAAAACATATTAATACTTGCATGGTAATTGTCCGAATGAGCTCTTCGCTGTGTTACTTAGAATTTATGAATGTTGCATTTTTCGCTCGTGGAACATTCTGCTGGCTCCGTGTTTTTTTCGTGTCCACAAAAGTAAAACAAAAAGAAAAAATCAATTATGCTGTCGCTGCGTTGTGTCCATAAAAATAAATAAATAAAAATTAATTATGGTGTAAAAATAATTATAATAAAATAATTATATCAGTTATAATTATCATTAACTCAGTCATTCTAAACCAACGACAATCGACCACACCTTTCTCCTTTACACACACTGACACGTGGGATTCTCACAATCGGACAAACAGTTCGTACAGACTGGTCGTAAACACGTGCGTCAACGAAAATTTTGTCTCCTTTTACTTTTTCAGGCCATAATAGGAACATTTATCTCTTAGCACTCAACAAAAATTTGAGGTAAGAAAGCTCCAGACACTTTGTATTATCTGGAGTCATTAGACACATCTATATATAAAAAAAAGCATATGAGAAAGACTGTATACATTTTACTTATTCTTTATTTTCTGTCAGATTTCTATTCATATTTGATCTACATTCGACTACAAACTCACAATTTAACCCAGTATTACTCTCCCTCGTTTTTCCAACACCAAACAATAACCAGATAATAAATAATACGCACTTTGTTGTTTTCACGTATTACTGTTTCTCATTTTTCCGAGTATTTCTGTCTAAATAAATAGTAGGTGATTTAAAACTATTTACTCAGAGTTATAACTCCCTTACATTTGTCAGATAACTTTGATCTTCAAAAATTTAAATGCAATGTCAATCGCTATCTATTGTCCTCCTGATTACTCTTCTATTGTTCTCGCACTTTAATAATGTTTTTGTTTTCTAATTATTTCACACCCAGTAACCGCTTGTGTCTTAGTGGCTTTAGTGCCCCACATGGAGTGAATTTGATTTAAAAGATACAAGTTTTATTTCAAACCGTTCTCTATTATTGAAAGAGCTTTTTTGTCGCTTCGCAACAATTCTCGCACCTTTTTTTTTTGTTTTGTCTTTCATTGCTCTATTTTAATTGACTATAAAAAAATAAGTAAATTCTTTTTTTTTCTGTATTTTTGTAGGCGGTCATATCAGCAAGAGTGAACACGGTTTCTATGTTGCCAATAGATCGTGGGAAAATGGCTTCACTTACAGGTTAAGTCACGCTTCTTCTATTCGGGAACAGCAAGCGGGAATTTACGCCAGACTTTTTTTTTAGAAAAAGAAACGTCGTATCGAATATTAAAAACAACAACAACAAACTAATTGAGGAGGTCATAAAAGATTAGATTCAATGAATGCAAAAAAAAAGGACGTAAAATATTTGAGAAAATTGAATGCGTTTGTTTGACATAAACATGGACATTAAAATGTGCAAAGTATAAAAATTGTTTGATTTTATATTTGATAGGATCCTCTTTCAATAAAGTAACAAATTTTCACCCCAAGCAAGGTAATAAAGCCACTAAGATATAGGTGGTTAATGAATGGGAAATAATAAGAAAAATATAAACAATAAAAGATGAGGAATTAGGAAAATAGTAGATAACGACGGACATTGGTTATACATTTTTGAGGATCAAACTTGAATGGAAAGCAAGAAGGTTGGTGCTTGCCTTAAATTGTTTTATATAAAGAGTCTCAATAATTTTAGTTGCTCTAAGTAGACAGGTGTCTTTAAAGTAATGATGTAATCGACCAGAATTTTTCTAACGGGGGAAGGCACTTGTTTGTGGGAGTCAAGATGCTTTTTAATGGTACTGATATAATTTAAGTGTTTCTCACTATTCGGGGCAGGGTTGTTGTTATGTCTCCAATGTAGATTATCAGTTTATGACATGTACTGGGAAGTTAAATTGACATACTACATTGGTTGTTTTGAGATTGGATTTTATAGGAGTACTGTTATTTGTAATTATATATATATATATACGAGGGTCATTCAATAAATAAGGTTAATTTTTCGGTATAAGGACTTCTAATACAGATAGAAGCTTAATTTTTTTTATTTTTTTGTTTTACATCTTTTTCACATGGATTTAATTTCTTTTGCAGATTAAAAAAAAACTTTGAGAGTTTTGGCGATTAACAAAGATAGCCGACCAAGAAGCATGCTCCAGGATTGAACAGCCGTCTGTTATCAAGTTTTTGGTTGCTGAAGGGTGCAAACCAGTTGAAATTCATAGGAGAATGTCAACTGTGTCTGGTGCCACATGTTTCAGCCCAATAAATGTCTACAAGTGGGCTAAATTGTTTAAAGAATGACGGAGCAGTGTTGAGGATGAAGACAGGCCTGGGAGGCCTACAGAAGTGAGGTCTCCTGAGGTGATTGAATCAGTCAATGACCTCATTCAGTCTGACAGAAGAACTACTGTGAACTGCTGAGGCAGGTCAAGAAAGACATAAAGAACAAACGCAGGGGTCATCAGTCAGAAGGAGTCATCTTGCATCATGACAACGCAAGGCCTCACACAGCAGCCCAAACGGTGCAGACCATCAACGACCTGGGCTGGGAACTGCTCCCTCCCCCCCTTACAGCCCAGACCTTGCCCCTTCAGACTTTCACCTGTTTGGTCCCTTGAAAGCGTTCACGAGAGGTACGAAGTTTAAAAGTGACGATGAAGTCAAAAGTGTTGTGAGCGACTGGCTGAGACATCAGTCCAAAGATTTTTACGCTGAGGGAATACGGAAGCTTGTGCACAGATAGGAAAAGAGTGTGACAGTGCTGGGAGACTACATTGAAAAAAAAAAGTAAGCTTCTATCTGTATTAGAAGTCCGTATACCAAAAAATTCACTTTATTTATTGAATGACCCTCGTATATATATATATATATATATATATATATATATATATATACGAGGGTCATGATTCATGTAATTATATATATATATATATATATATATATATATATACAATTACATGAATCATTCATACAAAAAACAAATATAGAGGTTAATGGTTTAATTAGCGAGAATACATCTTCGCAAACAATTTCAATAAGGTACACTAACCCCGAACCTGTATATGAATGATATGATCCCTGTTTATAAATTCCAGTTGCATCAGGTCTTTTTAATTTTTACAAGCTTTCATCTGTTTCTACAGACATCTTCAGATATGGAAATAGATTTTGTTCTTGTTTTTACTTCTCGGTAATAAGAGGACAACGAAAATAGAGATGTAATCCGAAAAAATGCTATGAGAAATGTGTTATTGTTTTGGAACGTGCGGCCGCAACGCTGAGTTTGAATTTTAAATTTTAAGGTTGTGCGTTTTTGTACAAAAGAGAATTCTTTTGTACTGGTAGGTTTTCCGTCAATGTGGCATGAACTATATTGTTCAATAATTACAGGAATGTCACACTTATTATCCGAAAGTTGCACGTTGGATCAGTTATTTTAATTTCGATTATTTTTTCGGAAAGACATAAATGAATAATCTCTCTCTCTATCTATCTATCTCAGTCTATTCATGTCTAACTCAGTCTATTAATTTCTTTCTATCTCAGATAGAAAGAAAGAAACGGATAATCTATCTATCTATCTATCTATCTATCTATCTATCTATCTATCTCAGTCTATTCATATCTAACCCAGCCTATTCATTTCTTTCTTTCTTTCTTTCTTTCTTTCTTTCTTTCTTTCTTTCTTTCTTTCTTTCTTTCTATGTATCTACCTCAGATAGATAAAAAGAAAGAAACGAATAGTCTATCTATCTATCTATCTATCTATCTATCTATCTATCTATCTATCTATCTATCTCAGTCTATTCATTTCTATCTAATTATTGGTGTCCATTATGACATCATCAGATTTCAAGATGTTTATGTGGATCCGCCTACACATTTCGCACACAGGGGAGCGGGCACTTAAATTTGAATTTAATTTTCATTTTTAAATTTATCACTTACCTCTATAGTCTACCCGAATTCATTTCTTTTTCTTTTAATTTATGCATTCAGTTATGAAATATCTCACATTGATAGTAGAACATCTGCCAAGCCCTTTCTATACATTTTCATCTTATTAAATTGCCTTCTCTTTTATTTCAAGAAGCATGTTTTAAATCAAAATCACGACCAGACTTATTGCTAATTGTGTGTGTTATTTTGTAAAAGGTCCCTTTTGTGTTCATACAATATTTTATTTAAATTCTTTGAGGTTTCTTCAATATATTGCTTGTGGCAATTATTACAGGTTATAGAGTAAATTCCTCCTTCAAGATTTTAGCTTATAATTTAGTTTGTATTAATTAAGTCTTTTATTGTTTTAGAAGAAGTCGTAAAAAAATATGTTAACTTTAGAAAATTCTTTTCAATTGTTGTTGTGAGAGGCTTGGTAGGTAGAATAATACATTTTGATCCATTGAGTTTTTTCAGGTAGGGACGATTTCCTATTTTGAAATATATTTTACGAGGTTTTATTGCGTTGAACATGAGATAATTATGGTATTAGGGGAGCTTAATATTGAGGGCTGCAAATTTTAAGTGCTCTTAAATAGAATCCGATGATTATTTAAGATTTTATTTTGTTGTTATTTCTCTTTTTCGTGAGCATGCGCCGTCGTATCAACGTAAATATAACTTTAGTCTGATGAAGTACTAAAAGACGAAACGCGTCACATGAAAACTTTTTCCACTTTTTTTATAGATTATTACAATCAAGCAAGGTTCTATTTGCCTCTAAAGCACACTCGTTCAGATTTTCTCGAAATGATATATCTGTTCAGTTTTCTATCCGAAACATTATCTTGCAGGATTTTTGATTGATTTATTTCTTTTTTTTTACACCTTATCAACACTTTGCAGGTTATTTAAAGCCAGAAAACATTTTTTGGATTGTAAGCATTTTATTGAGAGACTAATGATTTACTAATACAAGTGATACTAATTAACCCATAGCTGGCAGGAGAAGTGATGGTGTCATACCGTTCCTAATGGTATTTGTTTATAAGTGAATATAATGAACCCGGTTGTAATTCGAACTCGGCTCTCGAACTTCCAATTCCGAGACGTAAACCCATTACACCGCCCAGAGCTTCAAACTCTGGTATGCCCAGGCGGTCACCCATCTAGCTACTGACCAGGATCGCGTTGCGTGATCGTACAAGAACCTTGTCTTGCAGGAATATAGTCTTTAGATGAAATATTCATGGTTATAACACATGGATCGCAAGCTCGTCTCAGCGTAGACTGAGTAGTGAGTTGAGATCCACATCAAGTGCCCCATTGTGTCACATTTATGCTTCGCTTAGCAAATCACTATCACCAGGCTTACAGTCGTATCACATCAAAACACCGCTTCTCGTACGATCATCGAAGTTAAGCAACGTCGAACCTGGTTAGTATCTAGATGGGTGACCTCTTGGGAATTGCAGGTGCTGTTATCTTGGATGTTCAAGTGGTATAAAGAGCTTACGGCCGTATCATGTTGGAACACCGCTTCTCGTACGATCACCGTAGTTAAGCAACGTCGAACCTGCTCAGTACTCAGATGGGTGTACATTTGGTAATACTAGGTGCGGTTATCTTGGATGTGCAAGGGGTATAAAGAGCTTACGGCCATACCATGTTGAAACACCGCTTCTCGTAAGATTACCGAAGTTAAGCAAAGTCGTACCTGGTCAGTACGTAGATGGGTGACTGATAATATGCAAACATCAACCCTAATTTTCAAGGCTGTTCCCAAGTGTTGCTGTTTAATTAAGGTATTATTCCGTACTTATCAATCAACGAATCATTCATTCAAACAATCAATTGATATCAACGTTTTCATATTTGTCTTTCGGGGTAGTCGTCCCGAGCCACAATAAATATGTTTATAACTCTCTGGGTGTCCGACATATGAAGCCTTGGGGGTGCATTCATCTCCGCCAATTATTGACCGACATGTATATCAATCTCTGTCATTCTGTTTACACGTACGTAGGTAAACTAAGCAAAACACAGGGAAATCGGCTTACAGCCATATCACGTTGAATCACCTGTTCTCGGACGATCACCGAAGTTAAGCAACGTCGAGCCTGATCAGTACATAGATGGGTAACCGCTTCGACATACCAGGTGCTGTAAGATGGGATATGCGGGTGGTGCAATGGGCTTACAGCCATATCACTTTGAATCTACTTACGTCCATATCAGTTTGAAACACCGATTCTTGTATGATCACCTAAGTTAAGCAACGTCGAGTCTGGTCAGTACCTAGGAAGGTGACCGCTTGGGAATACAGGCTCTTTAAACAGGGATGTTCTTGCGGCATGAAGAACTTATGGCTACATCACTGTGAAACATCGGTTCCCGTGCGATCACTGAAGTTAAGCAACGTCGTGCCTGGTCAGTACCTAGATGGGTGTCTGCTTGGAAATATCATGTGCTGTAATCTTGGTTGAGCTTACGTCCATATCAGTTTGAAACAGCGATTCTAGTATGATCACCGAAGTTAAGCAACATCTTGTCTGGCCAGTACCTAGATGGGTATTCGCTTAGGGTACAAGGTGCTCTAAGCTTGGATGTATGGATGGTGTAGTGGATAACGGTTCGGAATTGGTAATCGGAAAGTTGAGTTCCAATTCCGGTCGGGATCGTTATGTGCACTTCCCTTGGGGAAGGTATGAATCCATCTCTACTCCCCCAGCTGTGGGTTAATTAATGGAACATATCAGTAAAAATCATTATTATCAGAAAAAAATTCTTAGAATGTAAAATTATTTTCTGGCTTTAAATAACCTGCAAAAGGTTGATAATCTGTAAAAAATAAATCAGTCAGCACAATTTACACTGTTCAATAGAATTTGTGTCAATAGATTACACAAAAGTGGTATAATTAGTGGTAAATTTGGACATGATTACTCATAATCCTAATAGAATTTAAGCGAATTAGCAAAATAATATTTATCGGATTAACATGATTATAATAGGATATTTTATAATTATGATGGGAATATATCGTTGAGTCATAAGTAATTTTCGTTTTGGGAAACCAATTCCCCCCATCTAGGGGTTAATTAGTCAAACTTGTATTAGTAAAACATTATTATCCCCTCAAAATTCTTACAATGTAAAAATATTTCCTGGCTTTGAATAATCTGCAAAAGGTTGATAAGCCGTAAAAAACAAATCAGTAGATTCTAGTTATAAACAGCAGTGAGGAAAAATGTATTTTGTTGCAATAATTCCCGATATTTTGACATGAATTATAAAGGGAGCTGAAATCTGTTTATAGTTTTCTTAATCTTCCTCTTCTACTTTTTCTTTCTTTCTTTCTTTCTTTCTTCATTTTTTTCTTCTTTTCCTTCCTTCTTTTTCCTCTTCTATTCTTTCTTTCTTTCTTTTCTTCTTTGTGCCATGTACCTTCAGGATGTGGGCGATGATGACTCTTCACAACTTCCTCTCCTTTACACCTGCTTGTTTTTTAATCTCTCCCATTCTCTTTAATGAAATCGATTAACACAAGCTCATCAGATGCTCACTGTTTTCATCTTTCCCTCTGGCCCCGTGAGTGTCAAATTTTCTAAGCACTCTTTCCTCCTTTAAACTTCCTCGTTACTCACATGCTTCATCCATGGTATTCTCAGCATCCTCCTGTAGAACCATATATCTGTTGCCTTAAGCCTCCTCTTCATCTGTATGGAAGTTGTGTAGCACTGTTGTTTCTAATGGACTGTTATTCTTTCGTTTTACTTTGTTTAGCTTCTGAAAAGCAACTTTTGCAATTCCAATCCAACTTCGGTTTTCGGTGTCACACTTTTTGTCATCTGTTAAAAAAAAAATCACAGATATTTCATCTTCTCTACTTGCTTGATTTTAAAGGTCTACATTTCGTGGCTCGCATCATGAACTGGCAACCATATACAGGGTGTTTTCTAAGTTTTAAAAAAAAAATTATCAGGCACAAATCAAGAACCGGAAATGATAGACTAACGGAAATTACATTTAATCAAAGGTAAAAGGCTAACATTTTAGGATCTGCAACCATTTAGTCTCTAATATGAACCAAAAATGTCAAGAGTACATGTTTCTTATGTCCACCGTTCAGTTGAAGGGATTGTTGAATGCAAAGTTTCTCCTGAATGATCGATTGAATCTTGTAAGTGATGGTTGCCTTCAGTCCAGCAATGATGCGAGGTTGCCCTGCTAGATGTTGTCATTGAGGAACCCCCAGAGGAAAAATCTGGGGGGTCAAGTCGGGTGAGTGGTGTGCCCATTCCACTTCAGCCTTTCTTCTCCCTCTGGCCCCGTAAGTGTCAAATTTTCTAAGCACTCTTTCCTCCTTTAAACTTATTTTTTTGAAACAAAATAATCGGGTAGAAATCAAGGACCACAAACGATAGACTGACTTAAATTACATTTGTTGAAAGGTAAAAGCATAAAATGTTAGGATCTACAACCATTTAATCTGTAACATGAACTAAAAATGTCAAGAGGATCCCTAGAGTACATGATCCAGAGTTCAACCGTTCTGTTGAAGGCACTGTTGAATGCGCAGTTTTTGATAACGAGTGCACATTCCTCCTGGGTGATCGCTTGAATCTTCTCGAGTGATGGTTGCCTTAAATCAAGAAATGGTACGAGGGTTGCCCTAGTATATGTTATCCTTGAGAAACCCCCAGAGGAATAAATCTGGCGGTGGGGGGTTCAAGTAAGGCGAGTGGGGTGCCCATTCCACTTCAGCTTTGCGGCTGGTGAGATACTCCCCAAACTTTTCACAGAGCCATGCCAGGGGAACATTTGCGGGGTGAAGAGGAGCTTCATCCAGTTGAAACCCCTGTTTCTCCTTATCAATGTCCTCACGATTCCCTGAGCTCTCCCATTCTTAAAGGGCCGCTACTTCATTTCAACAATTGTGAAGCACCCTGTACGTCTTAGCTGGAATTAAAAATCATAGATATTTCATCTTCTCTACTTGTTTGATTTTAAAGGTCTCCATTTCGTGGCTCGCATCATGAACTGGCAACCATATACAGGGTGTTTCCCAAGTTTTGAAACAAAATAATCAGACACAAATCTATCTATCTATCTGACGTGGGGACCTACCTACAAATGGACTTTTCCACACCTATATAATATGGCTACCAACTCTGAGTAGAAGAAATCACCGAGTGGAGACACTGAGTGAGTGAATGAGTGATTCAGGACACCAGTGAGAGAAAGTACTCTCCAGTCCACATTTACCTTTTGTACTACGTTTCCGAGAATATACTATTTAACCTTGTATCCGAGTCCGTGTTATCTTTCTATAACACTATCTATCTATCTATCTATCTATCTATCTATCTATCTATCTCCGTCTCTTCCTTATCTACCTATCTCGGTCTGTTCTTATCTCTTTCTCTCTCTCTCTCCCTCTCTCTCTCTCTCTCTCTCTCTCTATCTATCTATCTATCTATCTATATCTATCCGTCTTTTCCTTATCTACCTATCTCGGTCTGTTCTTATCTCTCTCTCTCTCTCTCTCTCTCTCTCTCTCTCTCTATCTATCTATCTACCTATCTATCTATCTATCCGTCTCTTCCTTATCTACCTATCTCGGTCTGTTCTTATATCTCTCTCTCTCTCTCTCTCTCTATCTATCTATCTATCTATCTATCTATCTATCTATCTATCCGTCTCTTCCTTATCTACCTATCTCGGTCTGTTCTTATATCTCTCTCTCTTTCTCTCTCTCTCTCTCTCTATCTATCTATCTATCTATCTATCTATCTCCGTCTCTTCCTTATCTACCTATCTCGGTCTGTTCTTCTCTCTCTCTCTCTCTCTCTCTCTCTATCTATCTATCTATCTATCCGTCTTTTCCTTATCTACCTATCTCGGTCTGTTCTTATCTCTCTCTCTCTCTCTATCTATCTATCTATCTATCTATCTATCTATCTATCTATCCGTCTCTTCCTTATCTACCTATCTCGGTCTGTTCTTCTCTCTCTCTCTCTCTCTCTCTATCTATCTATCTATCTATCTATCTCCGTCTCTTCCTTATCTACCTATCTCGGTCTGTTCTTCTCTCTCTCTCTCTCTCTCTCTCTATCTATCTATCTATCTATCTATCCGTCTTTTCCTTATCTACCTATCTCGGTCTGTTCTTATCTCTCTCTCTCTCTCTCTCTCTCTCTCTATCTATCTATCTATCTCCGTCTCTTCCTTATCTACCTATCTCGGTCTGTTCTTATCGCTATCTATCTATCTATCTATCTCTCTCTCTCTCTCTCTCTCTCTCTCTCTCTCTATCTATCTATCTATCTATCTATGTATCTTACATTTCTACAATCTACCATTCGTCCATGTTTTGAATATTGCTGCCATATATGGTCTGGAGACATTGGTATTTGCATTGAAATCATTGATTAGATCTAAATAATAATCAGCAATATTATTGGTCCTAATCTGGCGGCTCGGCTTCAGTCATTTTTCCACCGCCGTAAGGTTGCCTCTCTGTGTCTTTTCTATAAAAAAACTTTCATGGTAATTGTTCGCATGAGCTCTTTTCTATGATACCTTTGAATTTAAGCGCAGTACTAGATTGGTGTCGAGATCTCATAAATTTACAGTTGAGCTGGCAAGATGCAACCGCAAGTTCTTTGCTAACAGTTTCTTTTCTCGCACTTCTTGCCTGTGGAACTCCCTTCCGGCTCCATGCGTGTCCACGAACTTTAATCTACAAAAAGTTTAAATGCAATGTCTATCGCTATCTACTGCCCTCCTGATTACTCATTTCGCTTTTCGCTCATTATTAATGTTTCTGTTTCTAATTCTTACACACCTTGTAACCCCTATGTGTCTTAGTGGCTTTAATGCTACCTATTAAAATTAATCTATCTATCTATCTTATTTTAAATATATCATTTTTTCATAAATACATATTTTTTCGAAAATTACATCTATTTATTTATGTATCATAAATTAAAAATTGTATATATTTACTTAACATTGATATATTGT